CGCGAAGGGAAATTGGCCGCAAACAGGGAGGGACCCTACCGTGTCCAAGGCACTACGGGCACCGGAGCATATTACCTCGAGCAGCTAGACGGAGAACCAATACCACGACCCTGGAATGCTTATAAGCTTAAACAATACTATAACTAAAGCCCTCAACCACTGTGGACTTTTTCCGTCGAACATCCATCCTTAGACAACAAAGGGGAAAAGTCTCGACCACGTAGGCGAGTCGAGGTACGGACCCGACCTACCAACCACCGAGTGACGTATCTTCGTTCACCCAACAAGTTGAACGATAATACTCGACATGGACACCTCGATCGAGCGCCACTATCGAAGTACCCGCAAGGCAGAACACCCAGCTCGTGATGGGCAGTTCACGCTGCAGGTGTAGGACCCCGAACTGGGTCATGCGTGCAACACGCGGATCTCACTCCAGGCATTCGACACATTTCGAAGTGTGTCGAACCATCAGAAGGGTCGAAAGGATATCTTCGCTCAAGAATAAAACTTCATCAAATATCCATCACGAAAGTGAAAGTCGAACATTAGCCTAGAGACGAGCAGGTTAAAGCAAAATAAACATTGAAAAAACATGCACAAAACAGGTTAGTAATGAACCGACCAAGAAGGTCGGCGATGTTCAAGGTTACAGGCCATGGCACAACAGCCAAAAGAAATCAAGAATTATCACGGGCACGCAGGCCCCAAAAACTTAGAAATACACGAACGCGCAGGCCCAAACATCAACTTAATGCTAAACATCCCCAGGACTACCGACATCTACAACAGGAAACTCGGGCGGAGGCTCGACCTGACCATTAATAATCTGGGGCTGAAACCCGACTCCCTCGGTGTTCATGCCCGAATTTAGGATGGAGAGCTGGCTGACTGCGGCCTCGAACCCATCAGCTAGGGCACCGACACAGTCTGACTCAAGAAGGTGGATCCGTGCAACCAAATCTGAACGGGTGCGCAAAGAGGCTATCTCCTTGGGCTTGTCGTCAGCAGGGATCATAACAGCTTTTAGCTCCTCGATTTCCTTGGACAACCATTGGTTGTCGCTGTCCAACCGTTCCCTTTCGAGATGGAGGCAATCCCTCTCCTCAAAAACCTTCGCAATCTTTTCCTTCTCCCCTGATAGCAGGTCGGCCTGCTCGTGAAACATCTCCTCAGGCCGCTCGAGGGCCACCTTTAACTTACGAGATTTGGCAGCTAAAGCAGCCTTCTCTGATTCTAACTGCCTAACGCGGTCCGAAGAATCTGATCCTTCCCCGGCAAGGACCACAACCATCTCAGCCATCTTCACCACCCCGACCATGCTGGAAGCAAGGTGTTTCCTCCGGCCTTCTTTGTCGAGCCGTTTAATAGTCTCGGCCTCATTATCAGACACTGTCAGAGGAAAACCCTCGAAGAAATCCTTCTCTATAAAGCAGGGAGGTAAGCCGAAGGCCCGGGAAGCTACGGGCTCCTCACCAGTCTCCGACCTGCTCTCGGTCTGAATCCTCTTCCTGGTAACCAGCTCGGCATGCTGCTCAGAATCAGGAGAGTCCGAGGAACCACTAGAAACATCTCCGTCTGAACTAGTTGGCAGGCCCATCCTTGTGGCTTGCGGCGCCCTCACTAGCCTCCTGTTTATCTTCTTGTCTTGGGTTAGCTTTAATAACCTCTCTCGTTGTTCAGCCATGTGACCTGCAAAAAGGAGCGAACCCGGGTTAGCTACAAGCGAACAAAAACAATAAAGATGGAATAAAACAATAAGAGCAGAAGCAAGAAACCTAGCAGATCTACGACCTGCCCGTAGGATTGGAACTCGACGAGCGCCTTGGTGTTGATGGGACGCGCCTCGAACATCGGGTACCCGTCCTCATCAAGAATGTCATCCCCTTCCCTCGTGACCCATCGGGCGGGGAAGAAGTTGTCAACAAACTTACAAAGGACAGCATAGGCCTCCTCATCCTCGACACTCATGCTTCCCGCGGGTGTATGATAGTGCCCGGTGCCATGGTCGTAATGACCCGAGCACCAATGGATCGGGAACTTGGAAATACGCCCGACTGCGGGACTACCCTCCGCATCCACGAGGGGCTCCCCGTCCCCGTCGACCACCACCGTTTCCGATTCAAATAAAGAGTCCAGGGCAGTTTGGGTGACCGAATACAACACATACCATATATCTTTGAAATCCCTTATCGAATCCATGTACATCTTGAACAACCTCTTCGAATGTTTCAGGGATACCCAGTTGTTCTTGCCTCATCGAGACTGACGTTGCAGATGAAATACCCTGAAGAAAAAGGGAATCGTCGCCCCAATTCTCAAGAAACGGCAGGTCAGCTCGAACGCCGGTAGGAAGGCGATCACGTTGGGGTGAAGCTGCGAAGGGGCCAGGTTCATATGGCTAAACACCCCGACTTGAAAGTCACTAATGGGTAGCTTAAGACCGAGATCCCTGAACACGATCTCGTACATAGGGAATGCATACTCAGTAAACTCCGAGCAGATACGGGCGTCAATCGTCAGCCTCATTATTACAAAATTCTTTTGAAAACCAGGCTGAGTATCGCCATGCTCGACGATAGTATAAGCACGCCGACTACGACGACAATATGCCGAAGCAATCCCCCGGGGCTCGACGCCTACCCAGTCCAACGTAGGGTCGTCGATGGTGTCAACTAATGTAACATTCTCTTCTGTACTTATTTCCTCGACGTCATTATGCCTCGAGGATTCCGGATTATCGGCCATTTACCTACAAAGCATAGGAAACCGGTGAATTCGACAGCAAAACCGCGTGCTCACCATAGAGGCGGGAAGAAGTACACAACGATTCAGACTAAAAAGCTGAATACGGACACCCCAGCTCCGACCATGCATCAGGGACAACACGAGCATAGCATGAGCGCCCTGGGCGAATCATGAATCACTCGAGCAAGTTCCCAACTTCGCCTACCCGACACTAGGATACCGCGAGGAGACTACCCTACATACATCCTAAAAGGATGAACATCCCGGCCAGATCATGAGTATACCGACCAAACGCATGAGGATCACGAGCGATATCATGAGCTATACGCCTAAAATTATGAATATCACGGGAAATATCACGAATTATGTGCCTAAACTATGAATACCACGGGAAATATCATGAATTAGGTCCCTAAACTATGAGTATCTCGGGCACAATCATGAATCTACCGGGCATTACTTCCAAATATGGATTTCTAGTATCAAAAATAACATCAAAACTACCTACAAACGCAGAAAAACAGGAGGAAGGGACACTTACTTGGAAGAAAGGGAGTACGAACGACGGCGGCGAAAGTAATCAACGAAGAATGGAGCGGCGGTTTCACAGCATTACAGGAAACAACGGCAACGGAAACAGAGAAAGAAGGAGGAGCGTGAAGAGGAAAAACAAATTATGGGCCCAAGAGTCCTATTTATAGGGATGACGTGGAATGTGAAACGTTGCACCGGGGAGACACGGACTTCCACCGTCCTCGACACCTACCCCCCTAGGCAATTATGACCGTATTTTCTAGGGTGGCATTGCCATTCCCAAGGATTGCGCAACGTATCCGGCGAACGCAGCCCGCGTATCCCCGCGAGAAATTCCTCGAGCATGCTTCAAAAGACAAAGCCCTGGTCCAGGCATCAGGTCCCCGCGGCAAAAGCAAGCTGAGATCAAGTCATAACTCTTGCACCAGGAGCAACGACTTGGGGGGCTCCTGTTCTATACTGGGCCCACCTTGGCCGAAAGTGCAAATAAAGGCCCAAATCCAAGCAGCTCCTCGGGGAATGCTCACAATCAGACCATCACCGAACATGCCCGACCACAGACTACAGCTACAACGCCCGTCGTTGCCCTCGACGAGCAGCCTCCCGCCCAGGGGACTTCGAGCTCGAGTCCAGCTCGAGCACCCTCCCCGTAGGGCAGATTCTGTCCACTATAATCATTATGGAATCCTCAAAGCTACGGAAAGACCGCGTCTTCGTCCTTCCTCATTCTTCGCGGAGCACCACCCAGGAAGGGGACCACGTGTGAGTCCCCACTACACACATAGAACCTCACAGTTCCTTTATTGGGCCAGTTCTAGTCAGCCCAATAAGGGGACCTTGGCCCAGCTCTGGGGGCTATAAATACCCTCTGTTCCAAGAGGGTCAGGTATTCATCTATCACACGCCTATATACTTTTTGCCTGCCCATTTCGTCTCTCATTTTAGCATCGGAGTGTCTTGCAGGTATCCCCCCATCTCACTCAAATCCAGTTCGAGCCAGTTGTGATGGTCCAAGTCTGATCCGGTAAGATCAGATTTCATTTGGGTATCTTAAATCCAGACATGAGTTTCTTAAGCTACGTTAGGAGTTCACGTGGCTCACTATCATTCAAGGTGTGATTCAATTGATTACTTGGATTGCAAGGCAAGGTAGGATGGCATTTTCTGATTCTATATTTTCAAGGTGTTCAATTCAATACTTTGTTTTGAGTTATAAGGCATGAATCATGGTTTGTGCGAGTATTGGAATAGTTTGTCTTTTGGTACATCAAGCCAAGTTTTTGTATGATAAGATTGCTTCAAGTACAAGGAATTATGGATGTGAGATTCGAACAAGTAATTGGATTTCAATCATTGTGGAATTATGAAAGGCATACAACTTGATTCAAATTTCGTCCATCCCTTGTGATAATGATTTAGACTTGAATCGAAAACTCATTCAAGAGTTTAAATACATTCATCATCCAAAATTCAAGCGATGCAAGATTGTTATTCATTTAAGATTGATGCAAGATTGTTATTTATTTAAGATTCAAGGCGTAGTTCGATGTTATTCAAGAAATTCCAAAATTGCAAGTTTCACTCATTGTTCATTACAAACAAAAAAGTGCAATACCAAGACGATTACATTGAAAACACTTACGCAAGAAACCTAAAAAAATCCTAAACCTATGCTAAATTGTTCTTGATCTTCAAGCATCATGTTACTTCACCAACTTTCAATCTTCATGCTCATTCAACTTCATCGTCAAGAATCCACCATAAGCCAAACCAGCCCTGCACATGTAATCCAAAACAATTGGCATTCAAAAATCGCACTAGTCCTGCTGTTAAAATTGTCAAATGCCAACCATGTTACGCATAAAACCTGTTGCTGCAACATATATCAAAACCGAGCCAGATCGAGTTCAAATATCCAAAACCAGTCACAAAAACAATCCATATAATCCAATGCACATACAATATGAATTCAACTAATTTTATTGATTGGAGTTTCTAACTCGTTTAACTAATGTAACAAACTCTTCAGCATATAACAGAGTTTTCTCGCAGTTTCAGGGAGGGAGACGATATTCACACAGAAAACTCTCTCTATTTAGATATAATTATTCATAAACTACAGAATTCACAGAAAAACTCACCAAGAAAATTATTTGTTCTCTCAAGAAACAGATTCACTGCTCCCTCTTCAACCTTCTCTTCAACCTGTAATCTCTTGAAAAATTTCATCGATCATCATCGATTCTCCATTACTGCAATCTGCTTCTCAACCTCTATTATCAACTTTATCTTGTAGATTCAACAAGTCACGCAGTAGGTCGTCATCACTGTAATCTCAACAACCTACATAATTTGCATCATCTTCATCCTCTTGAGAGAACCTTCATCTTCAAAGAAACTTGTTGATGGCTTAGTTGTTGCTGCATCTTCTTCAAGCACTTCAATCTACAACAGGATTCGATACTACATCAATGATTCGGAGAATACGCTATCGTATCGTCATCGTCATCAACGACTGCATTATAACAACAAAAATCATCAGCTTCTACTCTGAATCCTCTCTATAATTCATCAATCTTCATCGCTTCTTCTTCTCTGAATCTTCATTTCCAGCATCACAATGGAACGCATATCATCATCAACACATGAATTGTAACAGAACGTGAAAGAAGAAAAAAGAGGTTGAACTCGCAGAATCAAGATTCAAGAAATTACCTGGAAGTTAGTGCCATCGCGTTTTGAAGAAGAAGATAAAGGCCATGGCTGTTGTGCCGTTCGAAGAGGGAGAAGCGAAGAAGACGTGTACGCGAAAGATGAACCGTCAATTTTCTCTTTACCCTAGCCTCTCACCAGACGATACCATATCCTTTTATTGATTATGTTATTTAATATTTTGTTCTTAATTAACATCAAATATAATACATAATAAATGAAAATAAATGAAAGGCTGAATATGGGGTTGAGTGGGCAGAACTACTCTTTCCCCTTAGGCCCATACCAATGTGTTCTTTTTGGGAACATTGAAGCCGAATAAAATATGGCTATTGGGTTCATTATAATCTGAGATTAGTGATTCATCCTGAATTGCGGGATTATATACTGTGGTCTGCAGATTACACCTTCTAGATGTTTTCATTTGATTGCTTCTTATAATTATTGTGGATAATTTTAATTGATCAGTCAAAGCTTCTACAAGTATTTTTGGGATTTTTTGCACACGTTGAAGAGGCGACATACCTTCTTCGTTAGGTATCACCCAAGATCTCTTTACTATCCCATTTTTGCATCGCTTTCAGTTAATCTTGCCTTGAGAAGTAGGATAGAGATGCATGACTGAAGACCTACCCCTGTAGGCATTGTGAAACCATATTTATGAAATAGCATAATTACATTTAAATACCTACCTCGAAGTAGATGATTTTTTATTATTTAAAGACTTACCTCGAAGTAGGCGATTATGATTGTGTAAAGACCTACCTCAAAGTAGACAATTTCTGATTGTTTAAAGACCTACCTTGAAGTATGCAATTTCTGATTGTTTAAAGACCTACCTCGAAGTAGGCAATTTCTGATTGTATAAATACCTACCTCGAAGTAGACAATTTTTTATTGTTTAAAGACCTACCTCGAAGTAGGCAATTTCTTATTACTTGAAGTTCTACCTTTAAATAAGCAATGTTGGTTCTCTGAAGACCTGCCCCTGTAGGCATTGCGAATAATATTTTTGCATAGTTAGGATTTATATCTTGATGCCATGTTTGTTGCTTTAAGCTTACTTGTAGCTAATTATGATAATGCTTCTGATTCATGTTCAATATTTGTTATGATTCATGTTTATTTATTCTTTTGATTCATTTTCAAATTATACGAAGCTTGTTCGTTACATTCTAGATTCATGTTCTAATTATATGATGTTTGTATATTGACCTTATTTGATCCATGTTCAAAATATGTGATTCATGTTCACTTGCCTTGTTTTTATTCATGTTCATGCCATTAAGATACTTGTTCTTAACTATTAATTCATGTTTAATAATTTGTTAGCCTTTAGGGTTCACGTTCATAACACCTGATAATACTTGTTTACTTTTCCTTTGATACTTGTTCACATCTTGTAATACTTGTTCACTTTATGTTGATACATGTTCAATGTTCACTTTATGTTGATACATGTTCAATGTTTACTTTGATTCATGTTTAAACTTTGAAATACTTATTTACTTTATTTTGATACATGATCAATGCTTTGTAATACTTGTTTACTTTCTCTTGATACTTGTTCATATATAATTCTTGTTCACCCCTCTTTAGATTCATATTCTAATTGTTTGATTCACGATCATTAATTGTGGGATAATTGTCCTTGATGTTTGATACTTGTTCACCTTGATTGATACATGTTCACTTTTTACATTATGATACTTGTTCATATTGTAATGCATGTTCACTTCTTATCTTATGATACTTGTTTATATTTTAATGCATGTTCACTTTTTATCTTATGATACTTGTTCATATTGTGATGCATGTTCACTTCTTATCTTTGGATATTTGTTCAATATGATGCATGCTCACTTCTTATCTTCTTGTTATTTATGTTTAAATGTTATGTGATGTCTTGATTCACCTTAGCCTAATGCATGTTCAGATAAACTTTGTTGTGATGTCCTGATTCACTTTCCTAATGCATGTTTAGGTAAACTTTATTGTGATGTTTTGATTCACTTTCCTATTTCATGTTTAGGAATACTTTTTGTGATGTCCTGATTCATCTTAGCCTAATGCATGTTTAGGTAAACTTTGTTATGATATCCTGATTCACCCTTAGCCTAATGCATGTTTAGGTAAATCTTTTATGATGCTTGTTCATATTGTGATGTCCTGATTCACCATTAGCCTATTGCATGTTTAGGTGAACCTTTATATGATGTCCTGATTCACCAGTAGCCTATTTCATGTTTAGTTGAACCTTATGTGATGTTTTGACTTACTTTCCTATTTATTATTTAGGAATACTGGTGATGTCTTGATTCACCCTTAGCCTAATGCATGTTTAGGTACCCTTTAATATGATGTCTCAATTCACCCTTAGCCTATTACATAATTATCTAAACCTTTGTTGTCACATGTATTCTTGTCTCGATAGCAGTTACCTTGCTTGTTGGTGTGACATCTTTGATGTACTGCTTGTCATGATAGCATTCTAATCCTATTGTATGTTTAGGATAGTACATCATGTACACTTGTCATGATATCATGTGTCTACATTACTTGTTTATGTGTTTGTATGATGTTTTGCATGTTTGTCTTGATAGCATGTTTTCACCTTGCTTGTTGGTGTGTCCTTTGTCTGCTTGTCTGATAGCATTCTCATCTTATTGCATGTTTAGGATAATTTACATCTCTTATATGCTTGTCATGATAACATGTCGATATATTTCTTGTTTAGGTGCTTACTTGGATCTCTTATACATACTTTCCATGATAGTATATTCATCTATTTCATGTTTATATGTTTGTTGATATATAACATGTTTATCCTGATAACATGTCTGCTTGTCTTGATAGCGTTTACTTTACTTGTTGGTCTCTTATCTTGTATGTTTGTCCTAATAACATGTATGCTTGTTCTGATAGTATTATCATCCTATTGTATGTTTAGGATAGCCTCACCTCTCATGCATGATGTCTTCATTCATTTAGCCTATTGCATGTTTAGGTAAACATATTGTGATGTCTTGATTCACCTTTAGCCTATTGCATGTTTAAGATATCTTACTTCTCGTATATGCTTGTCATAATAGCATTCTCGTCCTATTACTTGTTTAGGATTAGTTGATGCCTAATTCAGGTTTAGGTGTCCTCCCTTGAGCTTATCATGTAGCATGTCATGGTTGCTTCTCATTACTGATCTATTACTTGTTTATGTATCCTTGGTGTTACTTGTACACTCTCCTTGTTTGTGTGACTGCTCGCCTATTGCTTGTTTAGGTATCCTTTGTGTTACATGTACACTCCCTTTGTTTGTGTGATTGCTTATCTATTACTTTTTTAGGTATCCTTTGTGTTACTTGTACACTCTCTTTATCTGTGAGATGCCATGCTCCCTTAGGAACTTTGGTTAAGGTTGAATCTAAAGTAGACTCTAGGGTTATAAACAAGCATGATAATTATTAGGTAGGATTCTTTGTATCCTAATCTTAGGACCACCATTACATGATAACAAGTAGGATTCAAGTTCCCTTAGCTTTAGGTTTAGTTCTTGCATTTCATGTATGTAAAACTAAAATCTTTTTCTCAAGAAAATCTCAAAACACTTAATGAGTAAAGGTACGTATAGTGCGCCATGAGTCTTAAGTACATGAAGAGGATTTCGGATCCAAGGTGTTTGACTCTATCATCCAAGGGCCTTTATGTCATATACTTTAGTGTGATACATGTCTCAAACACTTTCAAAACTTATAAGAAATGGATTCAAGTTACCCCGGGGACCACTTGAGGGATTTCCTAGCAAAATAGTCAACAAATCAAACTCTCTTTTGCCACTTAGGCTTTTCTTATGAAAAATTTTCAGAAAGGGTTGTTACCCATAAAAAACATAAATAAAAACTTTTGAGCCAAACTACGGTACTTTGATTCCTTAAAAAGGATACGTAGGCATTAGGTTGCGTGTGTCATACCCCAAATTTGCCCCATCAATTTCTATGGTCATATCATTATTATGTTTCTAAATTATAAGTTATACTATTTTTAATTTGCTTATTTTGGGTCTTATTCTAAAATAGGTTTTAAACTATAAAGAGGGGTATATCATGTCATAAGGGTTTATTGAATCATTTTTAGATGAATCGGCCCATTAAAATTTTCTAAAACCATAAAAGGGTGTATGTATATAAGGGGAGGTGTTTTCTTAAAGCAGATGTGAAACAACCGGCTGAAAATCATCAAACAATAAAGTTGCCATCGAACATATTTTATCCCATAAGAGGGTAAAGGTAAACATTGAGAAAACCTAAGAAGGGAGAAGTCACGGTCTTGCGATCGAGAGATCGGGTAAGGGAGTATGTTACGCGAGGGGAAGGTATTAGCACCCCACACGCCTGAAGTACTCTACGATATCCGCTCTTGTTATCTATCTTATGGGTGTGTTTAATCTATGCTTACTGTTTATTACTACTAAAGGGAGAATGCATGCAAAAGAAAGGGGAAAAGAATGTAGGGAAAATAAAGTTGTACTCGCTTGGGCCCTACCCCAATGCCTACGTATCCTTTTTGAGGAATCCGAGCTACCGTAGTTCGACTCACATGTTTTTGTTTGTTTGTGTTTTTTATGGATGATGTTAATTCCGCCTTCTTCCGCAGCTCGACCTTTGGAGACTTATGAGTTGGCACGGAAGTAAAATAATCATTTTCTTACCTAAAAAGGGTTTTTAGAGGAAAGGTGCTTGGACGCACAAAAAGGTTTGAATTGATTTGTATTTTGTTACCTTGAAAAAGGGTTTAAGTGAGATTAGTATGTTTTTGATTTGATAAGAAAAGGTTTTAGTTTTAAATGCAAAGATGCAAAAGGGGAAGAAAGGAGTCTAAGGGAGACTAGCCTATTTCTAACCTAATGTTATCATACAATGGTAGTCCTACGGTTTGGATTAACAAAAGGGAAACATCTACCTAATGTTAGCATGCATGGCTTACAAACTAAGGTCTAACTTGCATCCGAAGAGAGCAAGCACGTTCTAAGGGAACATGTTATGTACATGGATAAAGCAAACAAGCTAATAAGCTCAAGAGAGCACACCTAGAGAGATCCTACCTAAGTTATCATGCCAAAGAAACTCTAATAAAACTATCCTATAGGGAACATACAATGAGAGCGAAGTCATGATATCAATTTCTAAATTGAGTGACTCATCGATCAACAAGAAATAAAGAAAAGCGATAAAATCCTATAGGGAGAATGCACTAAGAGCGAAGTCGTGATCTCAAATCCTAAATTGAGTGACTCATCAATCAACAACCAAAGAAATAAACACAAGCATAACGCGTATAGCAAATAAAGTGCGGAATGCCTGCTACAGGTCTTTAAACAGCGACTTCGAGCACACGCTCTTTATTTCCTACTTCTCATGGTATCTAGAA